ATTTATTTATTTATTTATTTATTTATTTATTTATTTATTTATTTATTATGTATTCGATGTTTGGCACGTACACCTGCAGGCCAGGCAAGGGCACGAGATACTCGTGAGCCACCATGTGGTTACTAGGAACTGAACCCAGGACCTCTGGAAGAGCTGCCGCTGCTCCTCCCTGAGCCATCCTTCCAGCCCTCTGTTAGGACACTGAGGCCAGGTTGGGCTGCACTCTAGTTCCAGAACAACCAGAGCTATTGTGGGATACCAGGCTGACACTAGCCTATTACATTGTTCAGTGTTTTAATTCTTCTCTAACCCTCATTGTGTAGTTAGTGAGGTTCTGGGACTGGATCTGCTGGCAAGTCTCTTGAAATCTTCAGGAAGGTCCCCTGTCCCCTTCTGATGTAAGAGAGATAAGATCTCATACAGGCCAGGATGGATTCCCATGAGGTGATACCCTCAAGCTGAGGAAGACCCAGGACTCCCCACTCCCCATTTTCCTGTTCTTCTCCCCTCCAGGGTTTCTTTCTTTGTGTAGCCCTGACTGTCCTGGAGCTTGATCTGTAGACCAGGCAGGCCTTAAACTCAGAGATCCCCCTGCCTCTGCCTTCCAAGTGCTGGGATTAAAGGTGTACTCCACCACTGCCTGGCTTCTTCTTTTCACACACACATGAAATACATATATGGAATACGTGCATATATATTTCATACATGTATTAAATATATAATATTACACACATACACACACATATTCATATATTCTGTATGTGTCTGTACCCCGGTATGTGGAGGTCAGTTGGGGTTTCAGTTCTCTCCTTCACCCTGTGGATTCTGGAGGTTGAACTCAGTTCGTCAGGCTTGGCGGTTGTTGTTGTCTGTGTGTGTCTTAAACGTTTCCTTATGCATTTTCTGTGTATATGTGTGTACAGACATCAGCAGGGGGATTAGAGCTACACACCGTTGTGAGGGGCCATGAGGTGCTGGAACTCCACCCAAGTCCTCCTCAGCAGCAGCACATGCTCCCTCCTTTCTCAGGCTCTTGGGTTTTGTCTGTTTGCTTTTATTTTTGTTTTGTTTAAAGACAGGCTCTTGATGTGTAGCCCAGGCTATCCTGGAACTCACTATGTAGCCCAGGCTGTGCTTAGATTTGTGGCGACCTTCTGCCTCTACCTTTCAAGCACTCAGCTGGTAGGACAGGTACCACGGTACCTCACTTTTTCCTTGTTATCTTGTTCTTTTGACACAGGGTGTCATCTATCCCAGGCTGACCTTAAACTCAGTATATAACTAAGGACAGTCTTGGATTTGAGTCTCCTGATTTCACCTACTGAGTAGTAGGCTTACTTGTTTTTATATATATCTTATTTGCATATATAAGATATGCAAACATAAAACAATATAGTAAATGTTTATATTAACATTAATATATTTCCATTTTAAAATATATTATACCACCCAGTTTTTATGTATTTGCTCCTTTGTCTGTGTCTTAGTTGGGGCTACTATTACTCTGATGTAACACCCTGACCAAAGCAACTTGGAGAGGGAAGAGTTTACTTGGCTTACACTTCTCCATCACTGTTCACCAACAGAGGAAGTCAGGGCAACTCAAACAGGGCAGGAACCTGGAGGCGGAGCTGATGCAGAGGCCATGGGGGAGTGCTCCTGATGTCTTGCTCAGCTTGCTTCCTTATAGAACCCAGGACCACCAGCCCAAGGATGGCAGCACCCACATGGGCTGGG